CCGATCGCGTATGTGGGCACCCCCTATTATGAGCGACCACATCACACCAAAATGTTCAGTCGCGTGCGACTAAAGGAAGAAAACTGTCTCCTTATACGGGGTGCCCACTACAGCTGGATCTGGCCGACCGCCCGATTCGATTGCCTGAAACTGAAAACAAACACTTTGTTTTTGAGGCGATCGAGTCGGGCGATCGGGGCCCATCTGTAGTGGGCACCCCGTATTATGCGCGACGCGACGTTCAGCCACACGCGACTGGCTAAAGGTAGCAATCCATATGTGCGGGACGGCAGCGGCACAGCAGCGGGCCGATATGTGCGGTACCGCAAGTCACATTAAATCCATATGTGCGGCAGCGGAATGGCAGCGGGACGAAATGTGCGATATCGCAAGTGGCTAATTCAATAGGGGAAGGCATGTTGGCGCCTTTCTAGTTTTGAGTATTCGCCACGGCCGACGGGTAACTTTTCCAGTATTGTAAAGTTGCAATTATTTTGATATTTTGTCACTAGCATAACGAACAAGTCCATCCATTCCTTTGCCATTCAGGACAGCCCAGAACACACCGATTGGGCATGTCAAGAACATGGGTGGATGAACAACGACATAGGGGTGCAATGGTTTCAGCAAGTTTTTCGTGTCAAATGAATTGAATGCATCACACAAAGATTCTTCACAGTCAACCTATTCCGCCACATTCATATTTTTGTCTGCAGCAGAGCTGCCGTCCCGCACGTATGGGTTCAGACACTGATATTTCTGTTGGAGCGATTGTTATTGTCCCGCACATATGGATTGTCACCTTAAGCCCTTGCACGACTGGCAATTTACAGAAGATTGTTAGTTTGAGTAAAGAGAAGTGCATCGACATTATAATTATGGTAATTTAGTGCAGGGAAAAAGTAAGACAGACAGAAACAACAGAGGAACAGTAAAGAGGTAGGACCTACCAGCAGCGCCCTCCAACCACCCACTATTTACAGAAGAGAGACAGTGACACATTTTAATGTCAAGATGGACAAGGACGTACAAAGTCCGTCAGATGAGAGTTCTAAGAGCCGCTGACACTTTTGATTCCGTACAGGGAAATTTCGAGTAAGTCCTCCTCTTCCTCTTCCTCCTCCTCCATCCTCCTCCTCCATCCTCCTCTTCCTCCTCATGCTGTCCATTAAAAAGAACCAAAAAAAACAACAAAATTAGATTGATAAAACTAGCATTGGTTCGAATTCAAGATGAACATCCTACAAACACACACACACACACACACACACACACACACACACACACACACACACACACTACACCAGACACACACACACACACGAACAAACACAATACACACACATACACACACACACACACACACGCAAACACAATACACACACATACACACACACATACACACACAAAAACACACACACACACAAACAATACACACACCACACCACACCACACCACACCACACCACACCACACCACACCACACCACACAGGGCGTGTCGACCGTCCTTCCTTGGCTATAGGTTATTTATGAGGTATTGTGACAAAAGATGATGTTCTAAATCTGCCACACCCCCAGTCTGTCATACGCGACGAGACCCTCTATCGCTACATGGACCGTTCGTTAAGTGTTAGGAGACAATTTTTGTTGATGTAATCTTAAATGATTGATTTTAGAGCGGCAAGGACCATAAGAGACGCGACGTCGCGCATAAGGAGACAAGAAATTTTAGTTTTAGTAAGGTTTTACGGCGCTCGCAACTGCATAAGGTCACATGAGCGGACACAACAACATCACAGACGAAAGATCGAGATAAAACTTTAATTTGTTTAGTTTAGTGTAGTAAGGTTTTACGGTGCTCGCAACTGCATAAAGTCATATATGAGCGCCAAGGGGTGGATGTAAACAGAGAAGTCCAAACGGGTAATCGGGCTTACTCTGCTCACCTCTTTAGCTTCAACAGCACAAAGTCTGCTTCGACTATCGACGAACCGCGGAAAAAGCAGTTCACAAGAGAGTGACAAACATACAAAAAAGGTAGAGGAAAATTGACAATAGTAAGGATGAGGACAGAAAAAGCAGCAGTTCCCCCATGTTGTTCGGGCACAGTATGAGCATGGCATTGATAAATCAGCCCATATACAATTCTACTGGGCATAAGAACATGTTAACCCACCTTTGGGAATGGCCTAAAGACATTCAGTCAGTAGCACTTTCCTGGGGGGCCGCAGACAAGCTCTATGTCTAATTGTTTGTTTTAGTAGA